AGAATGTTTTGCTGGTAATAACATAGGAATAAATTTTAAACTTTCTTTAGATAAAGAATTGGCTAGTAATAGCATAGAAATAAATTTTAAACTTAAAGAAGATACTGAAAGCAACATCTTGCAAAGTAGTGTAAAGAAAATCCCTTACTTTAAAAAAAATGCTTTTGGAAATCAAAATAAAGCATCACCCAACCTGTGTGTAGTACCACTTCCAAATTTCACAGTTAATAAGATTGAAAAGAAAAATGTTCAAAAAAATATTGTTATAACTTGTCTCAGACGCCTTACACTTCCTCATAAGTATATTGATGGTGAAACAAAACTTAGTCCATTTATTCAAATGATTGAATTAGATGAAAAAGGTTTAATTTTTGATAATCCAGCAATAGAGGCTTTAATAAATTTTTGTTGGAAACCTGCAAAAAGATATTTATTACTACATTTCTTTATGTTTATACAATATGCAGGTTGTTATGGTATATTAGTTTGGGCTTATACAACACATCAAAACAATTCAAATAATCTTCGAAACTTTTTAATTTTAGTTATGAGTTATTTTTATTTTACAGGATATCGTCTTTTGTCAACTGAATTCACACAATTAAAATATTATAAATCTGGAAAATATTTTTCTAATAAATACAACATATTGGATATTATTGCTATTATTGTACCCTTAATAGTTGAAACAACTATAATAGTTAAATCATTTGAAATTGAAGATGCATTTGGTAGCGTTAAACCTGATCAAGGAACAATTGCTGCTATATCTATTTCAATGTTATTTCTTTGGATTGAATTTGTAAGTAAAGCTATTGTTTATCATTTTTGTTATTATTATTAATAATTAACCAATTAATTGTTTATTTAAAAAGCTTTCATACCTTAGATTATTTGAAGGTACATTGTGTGTATATATATATTATTTTGTAAATATAAAAATATATTAAAAAAAATTTAAATTTTTGTAGGTGTAGGAATTTATATTATAATCACAGAAAAGCTTTTGGTGACTGTTCGGCCATTTTTGATATTTATGCTTATTGTTATATTGGCATTTTCTCATACAATGTAAGTAGTATATTTGTATTTTAAA